CCAGTTCGACTTCTGGTTGGGCTGTAGTGTTCCTAGCATGGAAATCAAGGTCCTGTTAAAGCGCTCCGTAACACCATTTCCCATCGGATGATATGGTGTTGTTCTGGATTTGGATATGCCTGTAAGTTGACAAAGTTCCTGGATTAATTTACTGGAAAAGTTAGCTCCTTGATCTGAATGAATTTTGTTTGGAAGTCCGTAGGGTATGATGAAGTTGTTAGATAACGCATCCGCTGTTGTTTTAGCTGTCTGATTTCTAGTAGGAACGGCAATGGCAAATTTAGTAAAATGGTCTGTAATAACAAGGATGTTTTGAATTCCACCTTTTGAAGGTTCCAAAGTCAAATAGTCAATGCAAACAAGTTCCATAGGCTGATAAGTTGTAATGTTGACCATGGATGCACGTTGGTTATCTGGAGATTTGAACTTTAGACACCTGTCGCACTCTTCTATCCAGATAGCAATATCTCGCCTCATCCTTGGCCAATAAAATCTATCCATAACTAATGATGTTGTTCTCTCCCTGCCAGGATGTCCCATCTGGTTGTGGAGGAAGTTAAGAATAGTAGGAACAACTTCTTTAGGAACAACCACTTGTTGATGTTCAGTGTCATCCTCTGCACATGTCACTCGCACCAGTAAGTCATCAAAAATCCTGAATTTCCTGAAATTCTGATACATTACCTTATCCAGGTCTCCTGTCATCATATCTTTCTTTGGTCTCTTACCAATCTTGACATATTCTTTCCGACTAGCTATGAAAGAATCCTTTCTCTGTATGTCATGGAGGTCTATTCTCTGGAATGTTTCAGAATCCTGGATTGATGACTTCATATCTTGGCTAACTGCGAGATGTACAGGTAATGTTTCAATAAGGGGATGTCCTTCTTCCAGATTACAAATGGCTCTAACTGATTCGGTGCTGAGAGTCTCTGGAAGTCTTGAAAGGGCATCAGCATCTGCATTGGTCCTGCCAGGCTTGTAAGTAATAGTGAACTGGTATGCAGAAAGGGCAGCAATCCACCTATGTCCAGTTGCGTCAAGCTTGGCAGAGGTCAAGACATACGTCAATGGATTGTTATCCGTATATACAGAGAATGTCTGGCCCATAAGGTAATCTGAAAATTTCTCCGTTATTGCCCATTTAAGAGCTAAAAACTTGTGTGTGGGATAATTTCTTTCAGATTTGGACAATCCTCTGCTGGCGTATGCTATGACTCGGTTGTGTCCATCTTGCTCCTGGTATAGAACGGCTCCAAGTCCTATTCCACAGGCATCTGTACGCAGCTCAAAAGGCTTGGTGAAATCAGGATAGGCAAGTATAGGGGGAGTAGTAAGCTTGTCCTTCAACACCTGAAAAGCCTGTGCTTGTTGCTCACCCCACTTCCACTTTGGAGACTGTTCTTTTCTGTTCCGAGTCTTCTTCCCAGTAGCCATAATATCTATGAGCGGACGTGCAATCTTGGCAAAGTTCTGTATAAACTTTCGGTAATAACCGACAAATCCTAGAAATGATCTTACTTCCTCTGGGTTTGACGGGGTAGGCCAATTCTTAACTTTGTCTATTTTGTCCGGGTCTGCTTGCACTCCCTCTTCAGAAACGATATGTCCAATATACTTTACTTTATTCATGAAGAATGAACATTTCTTTGGAGAAAATTTTAGATGAAACTGTCTAATTCGATCAAAAACTTGTCTTAATCTGTGAAGATGTTCCTCAAAAGTCTTAGAGAAAATTATCAAATCATCGAGGTAGATAAAACAGATCTTTAAGTGTAGGTCACCTAGGCACTGTTCTTGCAGACGCTGGTACGTGGCAGGTGCATTGGCTAGTCCGAAACTCATTTTGTTGAACTCATAAAATCCCAATGGCCCTACAGTAAATGCAGTCCTCTCTTTGTGTGCCTCCTCTATCTCAATCTGGTGATAACCTGATTTCATATCGAGTACTGTAAAGAATCTGTTCCCTGATAATGAATCTAAGATCTCGTCTATCCGTGGTAGGGCATAATTGTCTTTGATGGTTCTCGAGTTCAGCTGTCTGTAATCTATACAGAGGCGTAATGATCCATCATGTTTCCTAACAAGGACCACATTAGAGGAAAATGGTGAATGGGACGGACGTATAACACCGCTTGCTAGAAGTTCCTGAATGTGTGTCCTAACTTCCTCAATGGCAGCAGGAGGAATTCTTCTGTATTTCTGCTTGAAGGGTGTTGGATCATGAAGGTCTATTCTATGCTTGACCTTGTCCGTCGTTCCAATATCTGTAGCACTCTTTGAGAAAATGTCTGAATACTCCAAGATCAGATCTCTACATCTCCTCTGCTCCTCTGATGAGATATCCTGTGAGATCTTAATTTTCTCAAATATGCTGTCCATTTCAGGCATAAATGATGACTTAGGCATCTCTGTATCCAAAATAGTGACTGGTTGCAGCTCACAAAGAATGGCTCTAGGTGCAATGGAAACTGTTCTCGTAGTGGCATTGCTTATCTCAACTGGAACATTATGGCTATCCTCAAAGTTGTAGAGATGTAATGATGGTGTGATGTCCAAATCAGTTGGGATACTGGAGCGTTTCGTTGCTTGTAGCATGGCAAGCACTTGCTGGTAAGGCAACTTTCTATCCAAATATCCTTGGACCACGACACATCCATTAGGTGGTATAGTAATCCTTTGAGGTTCAGCTGACTTGATGATGCTGAGCTTGTTTCCATTCCTCTGCAGTTCTTTGCTCCTTAAGTTCATACATCTAAACGATAAGTACCAAGATGTATGGAGATCAGCATCTTGTAGATATCTTGAGCCAAATTCTTCTGGTGCATTTTCCATCAATCGGTTAATGATGTTAGTTCCGATGAGTACTGGTACCCGAGAATTATAAGTGCTGTCTGGTACTATGAGGAATAAGCAGTTCTGTAATGCATCAAGTGGTGTTCCAAAAGCAGTTAGAGTCACACAAACATATCCAAAGTAAGGCATCTGTTCTCCATCAGCGCACTCAATATGTTAAACTTCATCCACTGAATGCATCTCAATATGAGATAAATGTCTCTGATAAAAAGCTGAGCTGATGGTGGAAACTGTTGCACCTGTATCCAATAATGCTGCACAAGTAACATCGTTGATTGCCACAGTCACTTCATTTGCCTCGCCTACTAATTCTTTTGTGTTGGACCTGTATTTGGCATGGCCAGACCCTTGGCCCCAGGATTTGGCCTGTTGAAGTTTAAACTGGCTGATTGCTGATGATCGAGGAGGACTCTACATCCAACAGCAATGTGTCCTTCTTGATGGCAACGGTAGCATATCACCTTACTTTGTTGCATTCTGGGTGAAGGTGTAGGCTGTGGCTCATCCATTGGCACTCTCTGGGTAAAAGGCATTCTTGCTTGTAACATATATCCTCTAGGATTTTTCCGTCCTCTTTGGAATGGTGGTCTAAATCTAGGCTGATGATATTGAGGATATGGCTGCCTCATCTGTGCCATCTGTGTAGAAAGTTGGTTCAGCTGAGCCTGAAGCTGATCAAACCTTTCATCACTAGTCGCGGCCTTCACAATGGCTTGTTTTGGCTTCCCTGCTGGCACATGCTCTGTCTCAATCTTCCTTATCGCAACTCTTAGCTTATCAAAATCATGTATGGTCTGAAAAAGATGCCCTGTAATATCTCTAAGATCTGGCCGTAATCCTTTATGAAACATGGTCCTCAGCATCTCATTTGCTCCAAATGGGGACACTTTTCCCTTCTGTATGGCTCTAGTGAGGAGATCTTCCAGTCTCACACTCCAGGAAGCACAATCCTCTGTGTCTTTTTGCCTTGCACTATAGAATTCTGCAAGTATATCTTCTGTCTCCAGCACACTCCCATAGATGCTATCGAACTTCACAATAATGTCCTCTACTTTGATAATGGTTCCTAGCCTCATCAATACATTGGCGGGCTCTCCCTTCAATGAACGTCTGATAGCCATCAATATGGATTCCTTGGAGTGGCCTTCCTTCAACAGACATGTCACCTCGTATCGCCAAAGCTCGTACAATGTTTCTCCTTTTCCGCCTCCAGAAAATGTAGAAATACGCAAGGGTTGCTTGAAGGTCACAGGATACTCCATCGTCTGTTTTGATGTAGGTGTGGAGAGTTCCTTCTTAACTGAAAAATGTTCAGGAACATGTTCCTCTTTACCTACCATATCTGACATCCATTTCAGTAGATCTTGTGGTGTATCACACTTTGGTTTAACTCCCATGGCGGTAATCATTTTCACAAGCTGTTCAGTCTCTTCAGCTGACATAATAGGTTTCGGCGACTCTGCAGATGATTCTTTGTCCTTCTCCGTGTTTGACATGATTGATTTAGATTGATGGTAACAAGCGTGTAAAAAGATTTCAACAAATTATGTACAGGGAAAATAAAATAATTCAAGCACACATGTATCAGCAAATTTGTAAATCAAGGAGGGTAGTCAAAAACTGACTAAGTAAACACAGGGCAGAAAAAAAAATATTTCAAAGTTTCAGGCGAGCAATTTAGTAAACAAATGGATACTATTCAAGTTTAAACACAATAAACACAGAAAAAAAAAATTCAGTTGTAGAAATTCTCAGGAGGGTAGCTCAAATTGAACTAAGATATACTGGAGAAAATTGTAAACAAATCAGGTGGGTAAGTTCAAAATGAACTTAAATAATAAGGGATAGTTTAACTAAAATCTAAGAATTTTAAGTCAAAGTGAAAGTAGATATGCACTTCCGGTGGACTACTGCACTTCCGGTTTGCAATAAACTAAGTTAAAGTATAAATAAATGTGTACAAACCTACTATCAATATATTCAAACTAAAGCTCTCTGAAAAGCAAAATAATTATTTAGAATTTACTGCGTTGTACTGGAATGCCCTGAAAAATAACGCTGAAATAAAAATTCAAAGATAATTGGACGGCTCGGAAACAGATAAGCTGAAAAGAAGTTCGAAGAATTAAAATACAAAAACAGCTGATTTCAACAGGTTGGGATTCATCCCCCGATATCGGGATTGTCTCTGAAATGAGGGATATTTCCTTTTATGGTCATAATAAAGTCGCGCCAAAGCGGGATTTTCTCGTGCATTTCAACTTTTCCACCGCTAATTATTTCTTTGAAGACATTCGCAGCATGTCAGCCAGTGTGGTAAGTTGAACACATACATCTGACTCTATGCGAGTCAGAAAATTTACATAATGATGTCTAATTGATATTAATTAAGAAATATCAAGATAACAAGAGTGTTTAAAACCATAAACAGCAATAAAAATGTACAAATTGAAAGGTACCTGAAAAGTTTACATGTTATGCCTCCATTTTGAATCGCCACCTAGCAGTGACAATTGTGATTAACCAATCAAATTTGATCTTTCACACTTTCTATAACATGATCAGCGTATGGCGAACAGTTAGTGCTAAAAATCATGAAAACCAAGAATTACGCTACTTTTTTTCTTCTTCAATAGATCTATGGACGTGCTTATGTTTTACCAGTAAAAATAATCCAGTTAATTTCTTTTGTCTGTTTGTTAAATTTTGTACATTGTAGATCTATAATATATTTAAATTTTGTGTAGAAGAGAAGGTTGGGGGGGGGGGGTATTGATACAATGTTTAAAGTTATACATTATAACACCATTCTAAATTTTAAAAATCTATTTAAAACATCATAGAGTTATGATGCATATAATACAGCACGGTGTGGTAATTCCCATTTTATACTATCAATTTTTGTTTACTCTTTCTACTCATTTGTCAGATGAAGTCCAGATATCCAGGAAACAGATCATTAGTTTAAAATGTTTAATTATTATAAATGTGCAATTGCATAATGCACATTTCACATATTTACACTTTTTTTTTAGGAAAAGGTCTCTAAGAAAGGGGTAGTGTCCTTAAAACCTCTTAAGGTCAAGGATACTGTTAAGAGACTGCAGAAGCAGTCTCTTATCACAAAAACATTAAGTAGACGGAAGAACACATTGTTTTCCAAGGTTTGTAATTTTAAGCTGTATCAAAGTAATTGTTAAACAATGAAAATTACTTATTTAGGACTGCATTTTACTTGTGTAATAAATTAATTGATATACATTGTAGGCACATGAGCTGCATGTTGCAACTGGCGCCCCCGTTAGAGTTGAGGTCCAAGTACCCAACTCTAACAGTCGGTACATATACCGGAGCAAAGGTTTCTCCGCGGAGGATAGAGAGGTTAGAAGTTATTTTTTGATAACTTGGAAATTATTTCTTAAAACAAGAATTCTATGAAAAATATTTGTTAGAGTTTGTTAATACACACTTTTCATTGTGCTGGACACTGTTCTTTTTATGTGTGTTTTTCACCAGTATATATATAATTGTAGATAATTTTACAAATTTATGATTTAAGTAGGAATTGTACACAAGCATGGTGGTCATTGTAATGGTATTCTTTATGCAGGATGAAAGTCAGTCCCAAACTCCTGGGCCATCAACATCTGCACCAGTGAGATACCCCTCCCCCCAACGGAGAGTTCAGCATGCGACAAAAGAAACACAGACAGTGGTCTTTGATGATAAAGAGAAGTGCCGTATGTGTGGGGAGGGGGAGTTAGATAAGAGGGCACTTTGGGTTGGCTGTTCCAAACCCAAGTGCGACTATTGGGTTCACGCTTGCTGCCTTCACATCAAGGCAACCAGCCAAAGGTCCCTAACCAAGATTGCTTGGTTTTGCCCCCAGCACTGGGGAAGTGAATAAAATTAAGATTTAACTTAAATAGTTACCTTTTTTATTTGTCAACCTCTCTTAGTTCTTCCAGGAAATGAATGATGGCAGATTTGTTCTTTGTTTTAACAGATTTCCATCGCTGCTTGTAGGACAATACCAGACTAAGGCTCATGTTGTCAAGGGCATCTTCAACCATGTGAAGTAATGTTGCCCTAGTCTGGTTGTCCAAAGCCTGGTGTTTATCCCTCTCCTCTGGAAGCACAAAAATTGGTAGAAATTTCCGTCTGGATGACAGGTCATTTCCAGAGGACTCCAGGAACTCCAACAAGTTGTCTTGGCATTGTGTTGAAAAATGAAGGAGTTGCTCATCCAGACGGACTCCTCCTACACTGATAAGTGTAGGGGATGTGAGCCACTCATTGCTGCGTACCATTTTCCTGTGAAAAGAAAATCAAAAATATAAATAGTTCAGAGAAATTATTAATTAGATAAAAGCACCTTTGATTATAATTTTGAAATCTTTAAAATGTTTACCTGAATTCAAAAATTTCTCGGGATAAATCTACCGCATATGAGTACTGTGTGTCTGTGGTGGGTATGTTCTGCAACTCATACACTTTTGATCTTATCTATTTAAAATATATATATAATCATTATAGTATAAATTATTATATTTATGTAATCACTCTCATACTGAAACATTCAAATTTTAACGTTAATTAATGCACTTAAAGAAATGAAAAAAAAAAAATGCATTGGAATTTTTTAACATTTATCAAACATTTTTAATAGCTTTTCAATATTATAAACTTTTTTTCTTCACTTAATTAATAATTATTAAGTACCTGGCCTAATCTGTCTACATTTCGACAAATGTTGGTCCACATTTGATTTGTGGGGACTCCAGAGGGTACAAGTCTTTTTGTTTCCCTGTTCTTTGCCTCAAGAACAAAGTCCCCTCCTTCACCTTTGCTATCATTACCCGTAACACTGTAGGATTCATGTCTCTCAATGAACGCAAGAACTTCAGGCGGACATTGTAAACGAGTCAAGGAATCCCTAATGTATGTTTCCATGTAAAAAGGCATATTTAGACCAAAAAAGAGAGGAGCAAACTTTGCTTTGCTACAATTAATAGCATCAGTATTATTGCGCCTGACACCTGCTCTAAATACATGGATGGAGAGGCAGTACGTAAATACAACCTCCCGCATAAATTCATACAGTGCAGTAGGCTGGGAGGACTGTAGCCATCCATAATATCCCGCCAGAGATGGGTGAAGGTTGTCACTCTTACAGTGTCGTACATAAGGGGTAATGAGCTCCTCCGACATTGCATGCAGAAATATCTGCAATGTCTGCCAGCTTTTATGGTGGTCTTTAGAGAATGAAAAAAAAACTTATTTGAAATGGTCAACAATACTTTTAATGTAATTAAAGGGCAATGAAATATATATGCTTTGAGTGAAATGCTTTACCTGCACAGGCACGTAATGACGCTAATGCAGTAGCACTCTTGAACCCTAACATCTTGCCTAGGTCCTCAAACGCAACTTTCCATAAAAATCCAAATATACATTTTACCATATTTATCTCGTAATGGCCAAGTCCTGAAAGGATGACAAAATAATAATAATCATGGGTACATATATTACTATGTACATGTATAGGATATAAATAATATATTACATTTTTTTCTTATTCAAAATAATGTATGTTAACACAAGTACCTAATAATTTGTGCATAATATGTTAATTAATTATAAAGTACCTGGTATGAGAAGTACATTCTTAAATTTTTTGCAATCTTCCAGCCTTGCATTGGTCGCATGCTCAGAATCCTCCTGATGTTTCTGAAAACCCTGAGCATCTAAAAATTCTCTGTGACATGTTGGGCACAGGAAAGACGATTCAATCAAACGGCTACCTATTATTATCAATTTTATATTAATGTACTGCGTTTTTAAATTTAAGTAAAATAATAAAAAGAAGTAGGTTAAAATTTGTAAAGCTGTATAAAGATGACCCACCTAGTGTATATGGTAGTGCATCACAACCCAGAATTGTCCATTTCCTGTCACCAGCCATTGTGAGATCTGATATATGACTAAAGACCTGTAACAATTTAACAATTGTTCATTTCAAAGTATGCATACAAGCGCACCAGAATTTCCTCTGTTGTTTTTGCGCACCAGAATTTGCTCTGTTATATATATTCTATATGATTGTTTATTTTATTTTATCAACCAATTAAAAATTATAACAATAACAAAAATACCTCATCAATAGCGTCATATGAACAGGGATTCTGAAAACAAGGCTCTCCCATGACTACTGAGGGTGGCTCTTGGGGATGATGGGACACGACGAAAGAATATCTGTGATATTGAACATAGATCATAGTGACGTATCAATTATTTAGAAATAAAAAAAAAACTGCTAAGCCTATACAGTGTAAAATACACACCTTTCGTCCAATCTATTTTTAAACTTAGCATTGTTTCGATCGACGTGGTCTGTCCCTAATGCGTGCTCCTCCCAAACACTTTGAATTTTTCGTTCAATGAAATCGTCCCTGTATATGAATTGTTAATATCTTGTAATTGGATTGAATATAGTTCTTGATAAATATTTAGTAGACATACAATATGTATTAAAAGAGCTTATGAGATATGTTTAAAAAACATAATAGTATTAATACCTATATTTCCGGAATTTTTCATTCATTTTGGCCTGATGCTCCATTACCATCATTGGCACGTCCCTGCACTCCTCTGAGGCATGTAACCAGTTGCATGGAGATAACAACTCCTGATTTTGCAGTGTGCTATTTATTTCCGGAACAACATGAATTATGTTGGTGAAAACACTAGCAGTAGATTTAAAATCATACTGCACTCTCCATTTTCTCTGCAGAATCTGTACGTAATTTATTATGAAAGTTAATGATTTGCAATCATAGGGAAAATGCACATGGATTCATTAAAAAAAATATTGCTGAATTTTTATTGAAAACTCAGATGAAGGAGATTTGCACATTAATTTGCATATATAGATCTTAAAATAATAATGAACATACTACATAGTATATGAAAATATATTATTTAACCTGATTATTGTCAAAGAATGTGACAATGTCAAAATCTTTGGGGCATTCCAGTTCTATGGTCCCATGGTCTTGTATCCAACGCTAGAATGATGTAAAAAACAAATCATTTATTTATGACGATTACCCCCGTATTTCATGCAGGCACGTACAATATGGGGGGGGGTTCCCAAACAGTACGTTTTATTAATATTGTAAATGCATGCTGAAATTTCAGCTTCCTGTTCTTTTTATGTAAATTATTAGATATTTTGTAAATTAGTAGATAAAGCAAAAGTGTCATGTTGGATAACACCATCCACACGCCCACCCCCAAGATTTTCAAAAACGATACTATGTGCCCCTCATGGATATAATTCATTTGGAAAAAAATCTTCTCATATATATGTTATGAAAGTATATATTGTATTTAAAGTTAATGAAAATAACTGTTCATTTTATTTAAATTAAGTCTTTATTTCTGTCAATCCCATGCATAGGCATGTACCTGTAACGTGGAATAAGATCCACATGGCAGCCCTGAACACAACAAAGAAACTGCCGTTTTACTGCCAGTCGCAAAGTACACCATCAGCAAGTTCGCAAAACTGAAGGGAGCTACAAAACTTCTATGACATATGTAATACAGCTGCTCCAAAGCCCTGACCTTACAGACCCCCATGTTTGTGTCCCCGGATAATCCGTGGAGGAATGCCACAATGATACCATTGCGTTTTTGCATCCAATCTAAAGAGTATACATAAAATAAATGCTAACCATACTAGCTGAATGGTAAAATTTTATTTCTTTACATTTTTTTTATTTTGTTCTTTTTTTTACCAAACAACATCTTACCATCAAAATTAAGTTGCTGTATTAAACTAGCATCCTTGTAGTCGTTGGAGGAGGAGGAGGCATCTTCGGCAACTTCTCTGGCAATACAACGCCCAATACTACCAGCTATTTTCCCCAAGCTTTCCTTATCGAAAACACCACCCTCAATACCATCTAGAAACTCATTCAAGTAGTCCTTGATGGTAATTTTCTTTTTTTTACACAGGTTGTCCTCTGCATATGAGGCGCAAGCATTGCAAATATAAGTAGAATGGGGAAATAAATCTCCATTTGCAATGAGGGCCTCAGTTGCTTGTTTTCTTACTTTTTTCCCGTCATTTTTAAATACAACGAATTCTTTCCCCTCGGAATAGCTGCCATGTTGTTTACAACTACACAGTTTTCTTTTGGGTGGCATATCTATCCTGTTATAAAGTTATATGCATTAATTATTTGAATGTCTAATTTATCCTCTCTCTTTCTCTCTCGCCAGATAGGCGTCGGAACCAAAGGGGCGGGGGTGGGGGCGGGGGGGGGGGTCTAATAAACTTTTTTCAAAGATAGACTTAGTATAGATAGTATAGGATTGAACATTGCGGTGAAGGTTTAAACACCCAACCCCCTGCACAAACACGCTGCAATTGAGTTTAAAATAGTAAATGTGTTGGTTTTTACAAAGAAATTTGGTACTGAAAGAAGTTCGCCCCCCCCCCCCACCCCACCCCAACCCAAACGAAATATTCATGTTTGGACAATGAACATATTTTCCTTTTTTGCTTGTCAGGTGTTTTCATATGGATATCTAGGTGTGTTGTAGTTCATAAAAATTCTTTCACTTAGCTCTCATTTTCACTTTGCTTCTGACGCCAATCTCTCTCTCTTTCTCTCTCTCTCTCTCGTTCTATTGGTGAATGATTATATGCTCTTTAAACAGAATTATTTCCATTGGTATATTACCTAAAAATTGGTAAACAAATATGTTTTCAACATTAATGAACAATTTATGAACAAAGTAGGCTAAGCTGCCGTCTTTTCTTCTTCGTTTCACAGATCGCACCATCATTTGTATTTTTGTTTAAACGGTTTAAATAAGATTCGTTTAGAATGACAACTAAAAATAAATGAAAATATGATAATAATTGTAAGAAATGGGTATTTTTATAGAAATAAGCGTCAAAATATATTTAAGAAAAGTTATTTAGTTTTTTAAATATTTCTTACAATGCTAAAATATTGATAAAACGCATTGAATGTCATTTGTTTGCAGAATACACATATATCAATAAAATTGTTTATCTTTGTATGGTTTTTAAGGGTACTTTATGCTGTCTGAGAATATAATGATATTTTAGGGAAAACATGCACGCACTGAACGCCATACTTTTCTAGACGATGCTAAAATTTTATCTGAAACTGCTTTCAATTGGATGATCAAAAAGTCACATGCTTCCGGTTTTAACAGCAATGGAAGACAAAGTCAAGATCTAAGTATGCAAGGTTTGAAAAGTTTGATAAATGTCGTATTATAGATGAAATAGCTACTTTTAAATGATGTAGGATGAAAACAGTACCTTTTTTCAGTTTTCATACGGGAAAAGGCGCTCTCACAGACTATGAAATGGCGATATACTGGCACGGATTTCTTCCTCAAGTCTTCCTGTACATATACTGTGTCAGAAATTTCGCGCTTCTGCTTATAAAGCATGCATTGCTTTAAATAACAAAAGGAGTGAACATTGTCTCACATACCAGAGATATTTATTATGACCATAAAAGGAAATATCCCTCATTTCAGAGACAATCCCGATATCGGGGGATGAATCCCAGCCTGTTCAAACTACTGCAACTTTTCAAAGTATTTTATTCAACAATTTACCTGAAAAATCCGCTGCTGCTCCGCTATTACTGGAGATAGAAGTAAATAATTAACTACTTAACTAAATAAATGTAGAAATGAGGTAAATACTCAATAAATAAAGCTAAACTAAACAAATTTTAAGCAAAAACCAAAATCGAGTGTTTACAAAAACGAAACTTCCGGTATGTGCAAACGGAATATCGAGCTCGATCGAAAATAAACGTAAAGCTGTAAACAGAAATTGAGAAACGAACCTGACGGATTTACGAAAGAAAACAAAATGGAACGCGGCTGAAAATAAGAGATATGTACTATTCTATACTAAAGATGTTCAATTTATCTGAATTTAAATAGAATGTAAAGCAAAGAACTATTGGCAAGGGAATTTTAAACACAAACTTTTTACAACTATAAAATAACAACCCAATCAACCAACCAAAATCTGCTCCTTCAATCAAACAACCTTACAACTTACAACTTTATCTGACAACTATTTACCTGTAAACTGTCTGGTCTGTCTTGCTGTCTTATATGGTCAAAGCAATAGATAATTAGTACCTACTCCATGATGTTACTTAAGTAGTAAAATGGGTACCAAGGGATAAAGTGCAATTCAGGTGATCTCTTATACTCTGCGCTCACTTACGGTTATCCTACACTAAGATCTAATAATATGGCACTTTATAAATAATCAAATAATAAAATGTTCTAATTAATATGTAAAATAATCTGGGTACCCAATGTTCAACAGAATATAACCTTGGTAACTAACAATGAAAAATCCTAAAAATACAGCTTATACCTTTCAAAAACTTGACAGACAAAAATTCTAATCTATAGGTATGTACATGACTTACCGATCAGCTGATCCTTATAAGTTAAACCAATCAGAATATTATAAATACACAAAACACAATTAACACAAATATATACACATTCAAATGTCTGTGAGCTCACCGGATCCCGTGCACGAGTAGGCCAGCAGGTCACGATCACAGTTGTAGCACTACGCAGATCGGTGGTGGATCCAAAAGTTCAGATACACATGAAGTTACACCGATAATCAGTTCATGGCCATAGGACGTACATCACAGGGTGGAAATGGTGAGAATCTTCTCCAAGGTACTCAGGAATTCCTCTGGCGTCGTCTTGTCCCTACATGGGCGCCAAATGTAACAGGCTTGGGGGTTGTCAAGTGAAGAACAAATAACTGCCTGTTGAGGGTTCTGACAAGACTTTATTACCAGATATGAATTAAACCCTGCAATATTACCAATATAACAAGTGTAAATATTTAAGCATAAAAACACAATGATTGTCAAGGGAGATAATTCATTACACATAGAATATACATATATTTCTCCGCAATTATATATCAATCAATATTCAGCATAAAACTTTACAATAATTATCATCATAATGTATTTGAACATTATATATTACTGAATAAGCATAAAACTATGTGCATACCATTCTATGGGAATAGGCGTGTACAGCAAGCAGCAATGCTGCAGATTTACAATAATACAGCCTGAGTGGTCTGTAAACAATTACACAATATATTACACACCAAATCATAAAGATATGTTACCTTAAAAATATATAACAATGAGATCTTTCTGTTTACTCATACTTAAAAAATATCATTCTCACTGATCTCATTTACTCAGGGAAAGTGCTTAGGAAATAGATCAAGAATGCAAAATTACTGATTGGACATTTAATTGAAATATAAGAATCATATTAATATTAGTAATAAATTGTTAACTTACCAGAAGGAGAAGAAAGTCAGTCTCTATGAAAAGGTCTGATTGTCAAAATGTCAGATCAAAAGATATACATCATCACTGACCAAACTCTGGACAAGGAATGTCCAGAAAACCAAGAACCTTCTGGAGGGAAAAACACTAACCAATCCCCAAGTAAAACACAAAGTAAAACACCAATGAAATTAAAAGAAACATCCAACATTAG